GTACTTCACCTAACACTTCCTGTCTCTAACATAGGCATGTTTGTGTTTGTCTCTTCCTGGAGCCTTGTTGGATTTGGGATAAACTTGTGAATGTTTACAGGTTTTTATTTTTATTTTTTGCAGTTTATAAATAAACGACTATGAGAAGCAACACGCAGGTTAGCTTGCTAACAAGCTAATCGGAGAAGCTAACTCGTTAGCCACCGTTAGCTGTCATCATGGCAGCTTCCACTCCTCTCATCTCTGCTCCTGTTTTAAGGTTTGTAACTCTTTTTTTAAATCTGGCTGAACTCGTTTGATTGATGGAATAAATCCAAAAGAAGCAGATTATTATAGATTATAATAAATGATAATAGCCATGAGAATTAAATGCTGCACTTGTTTCAGGTTATTTGTCTCCTTTAGCTTAAATTATTAACCGGTAACAGACAGAAAATAAAAACATTGAGGACATTTTAAGACAATAATGCTTTTTGTGTGTGTTTTATCTCCTGAATAAATAAACATAATTCACTTTTTAACTGTGTGGTTATAAATGTAAAATAAACAAAACAAAAACCTTAAAACGTTCAGGNATATATATATGATGAAGATGATGATAGGAGAGCAGAAAGATGAAGAAGCATCTTGTTTTTCAGGACATTCGTTGGACGCAGAGGACAAACGTCCTCCACAGACCTCTGGACCTCCTGTTTGTCCTCTACCTGGTCCTGGCTCTGGGCTTCTGTGTTTTCAGAGGACTGGTGAGGAAAACCAGACGGTTGTTGATGAAAAGGTCCTGACATGTGGGGGCTCTCCGGCTCACTTCCTGTCTGTGTCTCAGATCGCTCTGGACTGCCAGGACAAACGGTGTCAGGACTACAGCCAGCTGTACGAGCCTTACCTGAAGGACCCCTCAGGCTATCCTAAAGTCCAGGTGGGTCAGAGACCAGCTGCTGGGAACATCCAGCTCCTGCTTTAACTGGATTTGATGCATGTTTCCAGATGCTGGTGGGCATGCTGTACTCTGGACCGTACTACGTCTTTGCTCTGTATGGGCTGCTGGTCCCAGGATGTGACTGGATGCCAGACCTGACCCTGGTACACTCAGGAGCTCTAGCACAGGTTTGGACCATTAATGCACTCCAGAACAATAAAAATATAACATTTTAAATATCAGCAGCCTGATTTCCTGCACAAACATTAAAATATCTTTTAAAATCAGACATATGGAAAATTATTGTGTCCAGAGAGGATCTGTAGTCCCTCCAGAGAGTTCTGGCTCTGGCCCAAGGTCTCTTCTGGTCCACGTGTCCTGCAGTCTGAAGTGCAGGCTGGACACCTGAAACAACTGTTTGATGTCTTGTAGGGAAGAGATAGCAGCATTAGCAGAGTTAGCAGGGTTAGCATGGTTATGAGGATCAGCAGTGTTAAAAGCTTTAGCAGAGTTAGCAGGGTTAGCAGCATTGACAGGGTTAGCATGGTTAGCAGCATTAGCAGAATTAGCAATCTTAGCATGGTTATCAGGATTAGCAGTGTCAAAAGCTTTGGTAGGATTAGCAGCATTGACAAGGTTAGCATGGTTAGCAGCATTAGCAGAGTTAGCAATGTTAGCATGGT